ATTAAAGGATATATATAAAGTGCCCACCACTGAGTCTGGAGTTTTGTAGCAACTCAATAAATCACAGGCATTTTCATTTTTAATCAGAGATGGAAAAGAAGCCTAAAAAATATTTTTAAGAAGCCTGGCCTTCTATATTATACTAGAGCAGTGGTTCTCAACCTTCCTAATGCCGCGACCCTATAATACAGTTCCTCATGTTGTGGTGACCCCCAACCATAAAATTATTTTCGTTGCTACTTCATAACTGTAATTTTGCTACTGTTATGAATCATAATGTAAATATCTGATATGCAGGATGTATTTTCATTGTTACAAATTGAACATAATTAAAGCATAGTGATTAATCACAAAAACAATATGTAATTATATGTGTGTTTTTCGATGGTCTTAGGCGACCCCTGTGAAAGGGTTGTTCGACCCCCAAAGGGGTCGCGACCCACAGGTTGAGAACTGCTGTGCTAGAGGCTCAGTGCACGAAATTTGTGCACTCGGTCCCTCAGCCCAGCCTGTGCCCTCTCACAGTCTGGGAGCACTTGGGGGATGTCCAACTGCCTGCTTAGGCCTGCTCCCCACGGCAATCAGACATCCTTAGCGCTACTGCGCTGGCCAGCCATGAGCCCAGCTTCTGGCGGAGCGTTGCTCCCCCTGTGGGAGTGCACTCCTGCATTGAGCGGCTGCCCCCCTGGTGGTCACAGTGCATCATAGCGACCAGTGGTTCCATTATTTGGTCGAGTTGCATATTAGCCTTTTATTATATAGGATACACTTCTGGTCATTGCAACACAATCCTTTATTCAATAAAGGCATGACTGTATTCATAACAAATAGGAGAGAGAGAAGTTATAATTCTGACATCAAAAACCAAAAACTAGTTAAATGTTTGAGAGTATACCCATCTTTGAAAAAAATATCTGCAGAAACAAATATGTCAAATAATGTCCTTTGGTGAATCTATCTGCCTTGGAAAATAGGGATTTGCAACAACTTTGATTTGCATGTAGGTCTAAAATAAAAAGGTAACTCGGGACTTAATGCAGCTGACAGTAACAGATTTACACAGAAAGACGGTTTCCCTGCGCCGTCTAGCGACCAGCGTTCTTGTCCCTTTCACACCTCAGGCCCTCATATTTCACAATTGGGAACCAAGGGGTCAAATTTAAAAGATCCCTAAGATTATGCAACTTCATGGACATGTGCTTTTGCCTTGGACGTGGCAATAAACATACCACTCAGTGTTCTCATTAGAATCCTAAAACGATGTATTTCCTTAACCTATTTCTAACTAAAACAAAATATTTCCAAATCACCAGCCCCTGGACTGGGTCTCGACACGCTCGCATAGTGGTCGCCCCCGCAGTAGGAACTACATCTCCCAGGGTGCCCCGCGAGTGGGGAGCCCACTCGGATTGGCCCAGGGTCTATGACGCTCAGTGTTTTGGCCCGAGCGGTCACATGTTTCCTTTGTTGTGAGCTACAGCAGTGACTGGTGGCTGCAGGAGACTCCGGGGCTGGAAGGAGCGCTGCGCCGCCAGCCGCTAACGGACCGCGGGGGCAGCCGCTGCTCGCCACTGCTGCTGGCCGCCTCCAGCCTTCGCCGAGAGGTACCCGGGGATGACAGCTCCGGGACCGGCCGAAAGGCGAGGAACCGGCCAGCGCCGGGGGCGGAGGGGCAACCGAGGTCACGACCACGGAGGTGTCTGCAGGAGGGAGGCCAGCGGCGTCCGGCCTCTCGGGGCCAGACGCGGGGGCGCCGAGGAGAGATTGCGCTTGGGGCTGCTGGGCCCCTGTCTGGGGCGAGGGGTGTGCAGGGCGTTCCTGGGGGGTCTTTAGCCCCGCTCGGCCACGACAGTCCTGCAAGGGGGACACCCCAGCCTCCTGGCACTGCCGCCCCGGAACCGCGGCGATGCTGACGCGCCCCACAGGGGCCGGGTTGGGAGGGACAGGGCCGCCCGGGCTGGGTTAGCAGGTGTCGGCCACCCCGTCGCCTCGGGGGCGGGAGCAGCTGGCGAACGGGGCTGGGGAGACGGGTCCTGCTGTTGCCGACCGGCTTCGAACGGGGCCCCCGCTGCTCTTTCATAATCGAAGGAAGCACTGAATGCGAAGGCCTCAAATCAAGCCTTCCCGTTTGGGGGGGGGCCGCGATCGCTGTCTGTCGGGGAGGACGGACGGGGTCAGGGTGGGTTCCCAGGCTACGGGCCAGAGTAGCCCCACTAAAGCGTTTGCGAAAGGTGCGCGGTCCTGTCACCTGACCGCTACCCCCGCCCCAACTCCCAGCGAGCCTTTGTTTACCGCGGATCGCGGCGGGGCCCGAGCCGAGAACCCGGCCCTGGAGCGACCGTCCCCGGGGAGTCGTGGCGGGAGGGGCTGCGGGCGTTCCGCCGGCCGAGTCCCCGCCTAACCTCCCCACCTTCCTACCACTCCAAGGCTTGGTTTCTTAATTTAGTTCCCAACGTCCCCGCCCCCCCAGGTCCTGGACATTCTGTACGCCGGCTGTTACCGCGGCCGGGATTGGGCGCTGGCGGCGGCAGGCGGGGCGGGAACGAGGGGGCGAGTTCCGAGTGTTGATTGGCGGCCGGCTGGTCGCTAGGGGGTCCTGCCCCGGCAGCTCTTCCCCGCCCCCTCGAAGGTGATCTGGAGGACGCGCGGGGGCGCGCTCGGCGCTCCTCGGCGGCCTCGGCCCGCGCTCCCGCGCGGAGGGACCCTCCCGGGTCGCCCTCCGGTGAGCCCCGCAGCCTCTGCTAGAACCTGAGGCCGGTTCTGTGCCCTCAGGGAACCGCAGCGGTGGCCCGCCCTCCAGGGCCGCAGAATTAGGCCCGTTTAAGTGGTGTCTTATCTGCCACCTTGTGGGGCAGGAAGTCCTCTTGCGCATTTGTTCTGGATGATTTGTAAACAAGGTTTAACACGTTCAGCGCCAAGCCTGTTTTGTCTCCCTTTCCGTTTAGCCGGCGATATCCCGTCTCACCGATATGCCGGCCGCACCGGTGGCTGACATGGCGCTTAACGTGTTAAATAGCTAAGGAAGGACCCTAACGCCGCATTTTAGGGTGCCTCGGTCACACACACACCCCCCAGGCAGGGACTGTACACTAGTTTGGTGGATTTTAATGACTAATTTCTTGCACTCTCGAGCAGCTTTTTAAAAATCACGTCTCAGTGTTTGCAGCTGCAGACTGTTTAGGTCCACCAGCTGAGGTTGATTTTTATTAGGTACGTAAAATAGATTTAAAATCTGCCTGCTGTCGACCAAGGTGTAAAATTATAATTCTAAAATATTAGATATCCTTTGAGGATATCCTCCTAAAAGTTAAAGATTCTTTGATACCTCCGTTTGAATTCGTTGTTTTGTGTGTGTGTGTGTGTGTGTGTGTGTGTGTTTTGGGGGGCCGGGGGTTGGTTATAGCTCACTTTTCTAGGTATTAATCCCAATGGTAATTCAGAATTTGTGATAGCGAATTGCAAATGTGTGTTTGTTTGTTAATCCTCACCTCAGTATATTTTTTCCATTGTTTTTTAGAGAAAGTGGGAGGGAGGGAGAAATAGGAGCAGAGAGTGAGAGTGGAAGAGAGAGAGAGGAACATCAATGTGAGACACAATAACTGGTTGCCTCCCCCATGCGCTCAGATGGGGCCTGGATGAACCTGCAACCCAGGTACAAGCCCTTGACCGAATCCAATCTGCGACCGACCCTTTGACCCTTCAGCGTGAGGGTCGTCGCTTTAACCACGTAGCCACACCAGCCAGGGTAGCAAATGTCTTGTTTTGAAATTGTAAGTTACTGTGACTGTAATAAAATCTACCAAAACGTTCATTTTAGCCATAGTGTGTTGAAGATGCAGTTTTTCTGATCTCATGGGGAGATCCTGGAAATAGTGCTTGGGTTTTATCAGGTTTTCTTTCCTATAAATCCATAGGAATTGACCCAAAACTTAATGCATTTCTGTAGGAGGTTGATTGAGCCATCTGCGTAAAGCAGGACTTGAATATGAACAATTCTCATTGGTTGTGCATTTTAATACATTTTTTAGATAGAAGTGGAAATGACCACCATAAGGAGCAGCTTCTGTGATCCCAAACTGATCCTACGTGCGCATTCTGGGCTTTCAACCCATCTAAATAAATACAAAATGCAAACCTTTTTAAAAAATAGAACCACCATTCAAAAGGCTGCTTATCCAGACAAAGCCTGTGACTTAGTCTCGAAACAGGAAGAAGAAATAGTATTCTGAGTTAGAGCTGTCAGCTTTAATTCAAACTTTCTTAGCTTTTGTCCAAGTTGCTAAATCCTTAATGCTTTTTGCTAATTCTTAAATAAGCGGCTGTAGTTATTTTTGTATATACTTTTTAAGATCCTAGTCTATTAAAAACAGTAGCTAAACTAACTTTTTTAATTGACCAGTTTGTCACTCCGCTTAAACTCACATAAGGGCTACAGTTTTTCAGATTTGGGCACATCTTAAAGTTTACTAAATTAGTGTTTAAATTAGGCTTTAACCTATTCAGTCGTTTCTGAAAGTTATTTTTGTAAGTAATTTGTGTCACCTAAGGTAAATAAAAATCACTTGACTTATAAAAGCTTTTGTACATGGAGAAGTCATTTAAAATACTGGATCTCAAACTTGTTCAAGTGGCAGAGCATTGATAGTGTTCTTACAGACTTCAGTAATTCTAATAGAACAGAAAGCATAATTCTAATAGAAAACATAATTCTAACAGAAACCATAACTATATTATATATCTATAGGTCCTTTGATTTTAAAATAAAACAATGTGTTAAATACCTAAAAGAAACATGTTAGCAAGATAAAGCCAATGAAGTTAAGTTTACATGTCAAGTCTAGTGAGAAGCATGAGTAGACTCAATAGGACAGCGTAATACCAGGTATGATGTCTGATGATTAATGATTTGTTTTTCTTCCTTTGAGGAATATTAATAGCCAAAATTTTTAAGGCAAGGAAGAGAAACACTGAGTGGAGAAATTCAATTTTTGGGTTCTGTAATTTGGGAAAAGATGGTATTCTTTTTCATAGAACCATACGGTTTAGTCTGACATTGTTTAAGCACTCCTAAATTTTTCATCATCATATACTTCTCATTTCTCTTTTATTAATCAAAGTATTGACCATTTGAGGTTCTAGTAAACAAAGGGTAATCACTAGTTGCTATAATTCTAGGCAAAAAAATGTAAGGTTTTAGTTTATTTCTGATATCTTAAGTGGGTAAATATGTTCTTGGTGGTTCCATTAAGAAATTAGAAATGTTGAAAATAGCAGCTTGCAGACAGGACTTTAAATATTCGATTTATAAAACTTGGTTCAAGAATCACTGCTCCAAACGTAAACCTTTAAATTGAAAATTTAAGAGCATAAATTTAAATGAATCAGTTAGCTGATTCAAATGAATTAGCTAACTTTTGTGAAAATATCAGAAATTTATAAAAATTGCTTAGTTTTACACAGTATCATGTTAAGTATAATTTTCTAGTTATTTTAAAATAATGGATTTATTATGTTGCAGTTGTTTTCTTCCTTCTTTTGGCTTACTATGTATCTTTAAAGATAAACCTCTTTTTGGTTGGTCTTCTGTTGTCTCTGCTATTTTTTCACTCAAGGTTAAATTTGAGAAAATGAAGTCATGTAGAGCATAGCATATGGTAATTCTCTACTGCATGTTATAATGACTGTGTTAATAAAAATATTTTTGGTCTCCCTTTTTCTGGTATTTGTTAATCTTTATAAGCCCCTCATTAATCTGTACTATCTTTAAGGCTAATTGTAACTTCTTTCTTTGTATAGAATTCCTGCATTCTAAAGGAAAAATAAGCTTGATTGCAGCACAGCTACACTCTAGATTAATTCTGACAGTATACATCTTCTTTGGACTTTGTATGCTGACCCCCTCTGTCCCGTAAGTATTAGCTAAAAACCCTGCAGAAAATGCCCAGGTGAATTGTTTTGCCCTTCTACTTCTTAAGGGAGCAATTTTCTACCTTTTTTCATCTAATTACTAAAATTCTGCAGCACACCAAAAAATACATTATTTTTTTGCCAATCTGACAAAAAAAAAGGTATAATTTTTTATTCATTCACACTGGATGGCTCTTGTTGTATTGGCTGTTGTCATTTTTCTTATTTGGCAATCTAAGGGAAAGGAGGTCAGTGCCCCTGACTAAATAGTCAGGTATTGCATGTTTTAAAAATTCTTGTAGCACACCGGGTGAAAATCGCTGCCTTAAGGTATAATTCTAGATCAGATCAGTCATGAGAGAATCTATTCCAATCTGCACCTGTGTTTTCTGCTAGAGAAACACTGAGAAAATGAATCTATTTTAATTTCAGTCTTGGAGTTCTTGTTTGGTTCTTATATTAGCCAATCCCAAAGTCTAAAATTGGATCTGAATCCAATATTTGCGACCCCAGTGCCAGACGAAGGATAGGCTCTTTATAAATGTTTCTTGAATTGAGCTGAATACCTGTGTTGGCTCAGAATCTCTTATTGCCACTGGGAAGAAGCATTTAGCTAGGATTAACAATCCCCTGATCTGACCAACTTGAGATATTCTTTACCAAAGGTACACACAAGTTAGACTGCGTTCTACAAGTAAAGAAACATGCAAGATAACATTCACCTCACAATCATCGCATAATCGGGGGACAGAGAAGTGTGTTCATGTATTTCTGTAGGAAAAAAATCAATAGTCCATAACTTGGTCTATAGATATATGGGCCAGAAACCAGGTCCATTAGTGTTCAATTGCTATTCTGTGCACAGTTCAAGTTGCTAGTATTTTCTCTTAAGCATTCCTCTACTCCCCTTCTGCCCCCCCCCCAAAAAGGAGTTATGCTAAATTAGTTAGTTTCAATAGGTACTACATCTATATAAGCCTCAACAAAGCAGAAGAAATAATACATGTATATTAAAAGATTTAAAATTATTTTATAAACTTGGAGATTCTATATTGACAATCTAATTACTGTGGATTTCAAAATGAATTTTTTCCTGAATTACCCAGAACACTTGAGATTTTTCTGAAATGTATTCCATGGTTATATAATATATAATGACTAAATTGTTTACTTTTGGTAATATTGATAGACCAACTCAGAATTATTTAATGGCTCCAAACTCAGATGTGATATCTATTACCAGACATTCTTCAAATATCAATTATCACATGATATCTATTTTTCTCATCTCACTGTCACCATTAGCTTGCTGTTGATGCCAGTGTTTACTCATCTTTCACTCAAGAAACCTTACTGCAGGATAAAATTGTCAAGTAAAGACGTTGGTAAATAACAAAACTAGTTTGTATGTAAAATAACATAAAATTATTAATTTGCTTTCAGGAATTGTTATTCAGTAATGATTTTCTATACAAAAGTAAACTTCCAGTTGGAAACTAAAATCAACTAAAAACATTTTTTAACATATTAGTAAATCCTGCCAATGACCAGTATAAGTGATTCGTATCTGATTTATATGTTGCTGCTGTTCTCCATTTATTTTAGGTGTGGAAATTGAAACAACACAAATATTTTGACTGAGGCTTTGATCAAGCAAATGCTAAAAAGGTATTTATAATATTTATAAACTATTTAAACATTGTTATTTGAAGGTTTAAACCACTTTACTTTCTTTAGCCAGGAGTCACTTAGGTCAGTAAGAGTCACAAGGAGCAGTTCTGTCCTCAAGATCATAAAGGAAGGCAATCTCACGGTCGTTTCCATTACTAAATACAGTGTTTACCCAGTCCTTTCCTCCCCTTCCTGATACTCTCAGTCCCCCGTCAACATTTTTCCCCAGTCTTAGAGACACTAAGATAAGTTATCTCCACTCATTTTTCTGGGACATAAATCAAATACATCTAATTTTAAATTTACTTAACAATCAGAAACTAGGTCTGCAACATTTATGAGTTCTGCAGTTGGAAATAAACCGTACAGTATCCTTAACAAGAAGAATCTTCTGGCCCTGACCAGTGTGGCTCAATTGGTTGGGCGTCATCCAGTGCACTGAAAGGTTGCCAGTTCGATTCTCATTCAGGGCACATGACTGGGCTGTGGGCTGGAGCCCTGGTGTGGGGCATGCAGGAGGCAGCCAATTGATGTTCCACTCTCACATCAATGTTTCTCTCTGCCTCTCCCTTCCTCTCTAAAAATCAATTCAATTAAAAACAATATTCTGTTAAGAAAAGTCTTCCTTTCAAGTGACAGTGTAGCTCCAGAAATAAAGCCCCTGAAGAAATGAGGGAGAAAAAAGTTAGTAGCTCTTCTAGACAAATCATGTGATATGGGCAGGCAGTCATTGACACGACCATCTGATCACCCTTGCATCCACTAACTTATCTAGATATAATTTTCTAATTAAATTTCCTTGGAGCAAACATTTTCCTCTTGTTTTGTCCAGAGATGCCAAATTGATTTCTTGCTTTTTCCATTACTAGTTAAAATAAAATACTTGATTTGTGTAAAATGGGAAAACAGCGGCTAATAAATTAACATATAGAAGCCCAGAAGATAAACTTCGAAATGCATCTCATATTTCTAAGATCCTTCTGTGCAAATCCTTTACCCACCCTGTCATCTAGGAAGCGTTTATGTTTTATGCTTTGTGGAGACTGGTTGATGGGAGAGTTCCCAGAAAGTCCAGAGAAAGTGAGGATGTCCGAAAAGCCAAGCCAAAGCTGCTCGGGAAGAAACAGCCCAGGTCTAAGAGATAGCCACTTACAAAGCAAGCAGTAGACAGTATCTTGTTGCTGTTGAATACTTTATAACAGCAGGTGATTTTTATAGTTGTTCTAATCCAGGATTCTCAGTTTTACATTGGGTAAAAGACGTGAAAGAGCTCTTGTCAGTAATTAAGGAACCAGCTATGAGAATAAGGGGCAGAAAATATCATTAAAAGACAGACCCTTAACTCCTATAAAGTTTTTGAGGTTTGGTGTGTGTGCTTAAATTTTTGTTTTGAGAGTAGTTTATTAAAGCTGAGGACATTGAAACAAGGAGGGGCTAGGCAGAGTCATTTAGTAATGTTATAGGAAAGAAATGAGCCTCGGTGGGGTTGCTTTGGCTCACTGAGAAGTAAAAGCCACAGTGAAAGAAGTGAGCCAGGCTGGCTGCTATCAGCTCACTGCAGTCAGAAAAAGGGGACCTTGGAGACAGGTCCAGGGGTTAACCCAGGACAAGCTGCCCGCTGCTCCATTGTTCCCCTGGTTGCAAGTCTCAGTGGGATCCCTTAGAGCAGTGGTTCTCAACCTGTGGGTCATGACCCCTTTGGGGGTCGAACGACCCTTTCACAGGGGTCGCCTAAGACCATCGGAAAACACATGTATAATTACATACTGTTTTTGTGATTAATCACTATGCTTTAATTATGTTCAATTTGTAACAATGAAATTGGGAGTCACCACAACATGAGGAACTGTACTAAAGGGTCGTGGCTTTAGGAAGGTTGAGAACCACTGCCTTAGAGTTTAGGAGATGCATGCCTGTGAGGGAGGAAGGACAAAGGAAAGGCCCAAATGTGTGCTCCCAGGAGGAAGAGCACACAAGTTTTAATCAGCCTTATATTGATACTTAACTCACTCAGTATGCTACCCCAAAGTTAATACAGTAAGATACTAGATAACAAACACAGTAAGATTATTGACTACAGAACAGAGTATCTTTTCATTTATGTAAGAGAAACTTGTCCCTTTTATCCAAAAGGGAGATTCTATAATGCTGCAGTCATCACAGGGTGCATATGTCTTTTCAAATTAGTATTTTGGATTTCTTCAGAGAAATACCCAGAAGTGGAATTGCTGGATTATGTGATAGTTCTATATTTAAATTTTTTTAGGAACTTCCATACTATTTTCCATAATGTTAAGCCTTCTTCATGCTACCATCATTTGGCCTAGATATCTGACTGTTGAAATATTTCAGGAAGAAGCTGGGACCTATAGAAGTGATTGTGTATGAAATTCTGAGGGCATGGGAATAGATGAGAGCTACCCCGAGTGCTCTTAAGCCAATGACAAATACATTTTGGGTCATATATCAACTTAAGATCTGAAAAGCCAGTAGGAGAAGAACCACCTTAAAAATGAAAATTTAAGAGAATTGATAGCTATAGCCCAGTGCCTCAATTCATTAGTTACCTATTCATAGTCACTTCTGAGGGAGGTTTAAAAACAAATTATTTCCTATTTATAGTGGACATTTAGGGGGAAATAGAGAAAAACAAAACAAATCACTTCACATTTGGCATATATGCCTCCTTTTTTCTATCTCTTGATGCACTGATTCATAAATTTTTCTATTTCCTTAGCATATGTTTTATGATCTGCTTTTCACTTACTATCTAGTTAATTCTTCCCCATGTCATTAAATAGTCTACATAGTTTTTTAAAATATATTTTTATTGATTTCAGAGACAAAAGAAGAGTAAACGAGAAAGAGAAACATCAATTATCAGAATCATTGATCATCTGCCTCCTGCACGCCTCCTACTGGGGATTGAGCCCAAAACCCAGCATGTGCCCTGACCTGGAATCGAACTGTGACCTCCTGGCTCATAGGTTGATGCTCAACTACTGAACCACACCAGCTGGGCTAGTATACATAATTTTTAAAGGCTGCATAGACTGTTCCATCCTTAAGATGTACTTCGGTTTAACTAATCCCCTATTGTAGGTCATTTAGGTTTTTTTAAGTATTTTTTATTAAAACAGCATTGGGCCCTAGCTGGTTTGGCTCAGTGGATAGAGTGTCAGCCTGAGGACTCACAGGTCCCGGGTTCGATTCCAGTCAAGGGCACATGCCTGGGTTGTGGGCTCAATCCCCAGTGGGGGAGTGTAGGAGGCAGCCGATCAATGGTTGTCTCTCATCATTGATGTTTCTATCTCTCTCTCCTTCTCCCTCTCCCTTCCTCTCTGAAATCAATAAAATATATTTTTAAAAATATAGCATTGGGCATCTCTGTAGATAAATCTTTCTACATATCCTGTTATTTCCTTAGGAATGCTGGAAAAGGACTTGCTAGTCAAACAATATATATATTTTTAAAGACCATTAATAAATATAATTGAATTCCTGTCTAGCAACACTAGTATATTAAGATAATATACACTTATTTTAGGATTCTGAATATAGTCAAATTCTGTGTCTTACAGTATTCTGACTTACCTTTATAGTCAGTGGATAAAACCCAGCTGTGTAAAAGGGAAGACAGAAGGTTATTAGTAATTCACAAAGTACACGGTATCCTTTCACCTGGGGGGCTAAAGGAGTACTGTTGCAAATTACTCCTAAGGTTCTAATTGTGCAAATGCAATTTTTATATCAATGTTTATTAAAACGAAGTAGTGCCCTGTACCCTACATGAAATATATTACACGATTTTGTTGCAGTGTTACATCAAAATGAAATTATATAATTTGAATACTGAATTTTTTACTTATTAAAATGTTTTCACTTTTTTTCTTTTTTCACTTTTAGCCACGTAGAGAAGATCCCTAATAGTCATTTCTCAGCAGTTATATAGTCAACTGATGTAACGATGGTCCTAATATTAGGACGAAGACTAAACAGAGAGGATCTCGGGGTGCGTGATTCCCCAGCAACTAAGCGTAAAGTTTTTGAAATGGACCCTAAATCTCTGACAGGCCATGAATTTTTTGACTTCTCTTCAGGATCATCCCATGCTGAAAACATACTCCAGATATTTAATGAATTCCGAGATAACCGATTATTCACAGATGTTATCATTTGTGTGGAAGGGAAAGAATTTCCTTGCCATAGAGCTGTTCTATCAGCCTGTAGTAGCTACTTCAGAGCTATGTTTTGTAATGACCACAGGGAAAGCCGAGAAATGTTGGTTGAAATCAATGGTATTTTAGCTGAAGCTATGGAATGTTTTCTGCAGTATGTGTATACTGGAAAGGTGAAGATCACTACGGAGAATGTACAATATATCTTTGAAACATCAAGCCTCTTTCAGATCAGTGTTCTCCGTGATGCATGTGCCAAGTTCTTGGAGGAGCAACTTGATCCTTGTAATTGCTTAGGAATTCAGCGCTTTGCTGACACCCATTCACTCAAAACACTCTTCACAAAATGCAAGACTTTTGCATTACAGACTTTTGAGGATGTGTCCCAGCATGAGGAGTTTCTTGAGCTTGACAAAGATGAACTTATTGATTATATTTGTAGTGATGAACTAGTTATTACTAAAGAGGAGATGGTTTTTGAAGCTGTCATGCGTTGGGTCTATCGTGCTGTTGATCTGAGAAGACCACTATTACATGAGCTCCTGACACATGTGAGACTCCCTCTGTTGCATCCCAACTACTTCGTTCAAACAGTTGAGGTGGACCAATTGATCCAGAATTCTCCTGAGTGTTATCAGTTGTTGCATGAAGCAAGGCGGTACCACATACTTGGGAATGAAATGATGTCCCCAAGGACTAGGCCACGAAGGTGAGAAAACTGTTTACAAATTAACTACAATATAATTAACAAAAGTTTTTGTTTTTAAAGTATTTTTAAACATCCTGAAGGTAATTTCAGGGTAGTCATTTATATGTATTGTTGCATGTAGATTTATATAATTTAAGTGTCTCTCCCAGTGAAGACTAGATTCATTCTTTGTTATTGTTCTGAGCTGTCAGAGGGTGTTGCAAAGGGTCTTTGGAACTGTGCATGTCTCAACATATTTCTACTAATTTCTCATAGCCTTCGTAGGGTCCCAAAGCATTCCACTTTTCTTTCCAGAGAGTCTTTGGATAGAAAGGAGCTAAAGACTTTGGCAGACTAACAGACAACATGAAATATAGAGGTGAAGTAAGTAAGCTCATGTACAATGAGTGGATTCTCAGATATAAAACCCAACCTTCAGATCTTGTCTCATTGCCATAGTTACTATATTTAATGTCAATCTCAACTTTTAAATTTTTTTCTGATTACAAAAATTATATCATCATTATACAGAATTTGGAAAATTTATGTTATGTTAAAGGGTAGGAATGCAATTAAATATTGTACAATTATATCTCAATAAAACAAAAAAGCTGACTCTAGTTTTTTAAAAAGTAATTGGTAATTGTTTAACAAAGGACAAAAGAATACAATTTTATTCTGTAAGTGTACGGATTTTTTCTAAGTTCCTGTTCTTTTTTTAAAGACTCTTCAGAGACTTGGGCTGAGTTTAAGAATGTGGAGAGGCCACGGTTAAATGTATTAAGAAAGCTAAACAGCTTCAGGGATATTCCACAACTTTTCTGGATGCACAGTGTCCCTCCAAGGAAAATCACCCATTCTTCCCTTGTAGCAGAAGAATGTTTTGGAGTCAAATAGGACTGATAATACCTATTCTGCATATCTCATGGGATTAGAAGGGACCAAGGGATATGTGTTGTAAAATCAAATTAATTCATTTATTATTAATGTTATTTACAAAGAAATGACCTGAATGAACATATTGGAGACTCAGATTAATTAGGTTAGATAATAAATACTTTTCCTGATTCACTTAATTACTTGATTTGCAAAAATTTACTTCCAATTTTGAAGCGGACCAATCCATTTTATACAGTGGAACACATCTATATAAAAGATTGCTATATCACCTTTCTTTAGGAGGCAAGTAGAAAAAAACAAACTATAGTTATATTGAATTTACAGACTATTATAAATATAATAGCGGATATTTATTTTGTGTAGGCATTTTGTGAGGAATCCTTTATTTTACAACTCTGCAGTCAACTTCTGTCCCTCATATTGTCTTTCACTTACTTGTTACTGCATGTTAGTACCCATCACTAGGAATTTCATTATCTGAACAATGTGTATTATTTATACAGGTTCTCATCTTTCTGAGAAACTCCAAAGTTCTTTGAAAAAGGGGTGATGTCTCCACTTCTGCAACTGCAGTTCATTCCCGACTTCTGCTCCAGTCACTCTCCTGAAACTCCTCTCAATCTGGTCATCACTGACCTTCTGTTTGTTATTTGTTAGACACCTCTTTTCAGTCTTTATCCAGCTTGGTCTCTCTTTAGGATTTGACATTATAAATTGCTTTAATCCCTCTTGAAACTCCTCCTCTAGCTTGTGGAGTACCATTTTCTTCATGGTTTTACTTCTCCAGCTGCTCTTTTCCAGTTGATGGTTCTGTATCTAGTCTTGGGAATGTTGGTAGTCCCTTTGGTTCACATCTCTTTATCTTGCCTTACACACTTAACTAGCCCGTGGTGGGCAAACCGCGCCTCACGAGACACATGTGGCTCTTTGGCCCCTTGAGTGTGGCTCTTCCACAAAATACCACGTGGGGGCGCGCACGTACAGTGCGATTGAAACTTCGTGGCCCATGCACAGAAGTCGGTATTTTGTGGAAGAGCCGGTACTTTGTGGAAGAGCCACACTCAAGGGGCCAAAGAGCCACATGTGGCTCACGAGTCGCGGTTTGCCGAGCCGCAGTTTGCCGACCACTGTTAGGCGATCTCATCTACTCTCATGGTTTTAATTACCATGTATGCTATTGACTATTAAACCTATATCTCCAGCCCAGACTTTTTCTTTCATTCATTCATTCATTCATTCAGCCAATGTTACTTGTTTTTTTTACTTGAGGATGCATCTTTTAAAAAAAATAACAGGCAAAATAATATCACACTTAAAGTTAATAGTTATTTAATATTATCTAATACCCAATTCATATACATACTTCCTCCAGACTGTTCTTTAATGAATCTGGATCTAATCCAGGATCACTTATTGCATCTGGTTATTTCCATGAAGTCTCTCTTATTTCAGAAAAATTTCTTTTTTGTGATTCTGACTTGTTGTTGGCCAAGTTGTCCAGAAAAGTATTCCACCTTCTGTATCAGTCTGGTTACTTCCTTATGGTATCATTTACCTGCATTTAGTTATGTTTCTGGAAACGAAGTTGGCTCTGCAAGCCTCAGCTTAATGGAGACCAGTTAAGTATTTCTGGCAAGAGTTCATCCTAGGTAATGTGTCAAAGTAGGAGACACAGACTATCTGGTTGTCTTCACATTAGCGATGCAAAGATTAACTCCAGATTAGGGTGATGACAGTCAGTTTCCACCAATGAACAGTTAGGTTATACTCCACATCAGTCAATGTTTCTTTAGTGTTTATCCTGTGCCAAGTATCCTTCAGAGCTCAACGCATATTAGATATTCTACATATATATACCCACGTGTCTCTTAAATAACAGAGAAAACCCAAAAATGCACCCAAGCATGAAAGTTTGATAATCTACACTGCCAGTTGTAAACCCATGGAGAGAAAACAGTGGAGACCAATCACAGAAGGAACAAAGCTTAGGAACAGTAGTTGTCTTTTTAATAATATGTATTATGCAACCTTAAATGTCTGTGCTAATACATAATATTAATAATATTTTTTATTGATTTCAGAGAGGAAGGGAGAGGAAAAGAGCGATAGAAACACCAATGATGAGAACCATGGATTGGCTGCCTCCTTCATGCCCCCCACTGGGAATCAAGCCTGCAACCCGGCATGTGCCCTTGACTGGAATCGAACCCAGGACCCTTCAGTGCACAGGCTGATGCTCTATCCACTGAGCCAAACCAGCTAGGGCCATAATATTATTTTTTAATAAACACCAAGCATCATGATGTGTTTAGAGTACTGACTTCAGAAACAGGCCTGGATTATAATCTGGCTCTACACTAGTTAATTCTATGATCTTAGGCAAGGCACTTTAACTTCACTATGTATCAGTTTTCACATCTGTAAAATGAGCATAATATTATCTACCTTGTAAAATTGTTGTGAGTGCCCTAGCCAGTTTGGCTCAGTGGGTAGAGCATCTGCCTGCAGACTGGAGGATCCTGGGTTTGATTCCAGTCAAGGGCACATGCCTGGATTGCAGGTTCAATCCCCAGTGTGGGTCTGCAGCCGATCAATGATTCTCTCTCATCATTAATGTTTCTCTCTCCCTACCCCTGCCTCTCTGATATCAATAAAATATATTTTTTTAAAAATTGTTGTGAGTATTAGAGATATCATATGAAAGAATGCATAACCTAGCGTTTGACACACAAAAAACATAATAAAAATTATTACTGGTTTCATGAAGAAAATACATTTTAAATTTATGCTGTGCTTTTACAGAATAGGAAATGTGATTGAGGCAGAAATGCTTGCTATCAAATGGTTCATTTTAAGCATAAATTGTTCATATCTATGAGAAAAAAATCAGTGCTCTTTGCTATACTCAATTGAGCAATAGGTAGCTAATCCTATATAATAAAAGCCCAGCAACCAAACAGCAAAACGACCAGAACAACCATTTGACAAGTCGCTATGATGGCACTGACCACCAGGGGGCAGACACTCAACGCAGGAGCTGCCCCCCTGGTGGTCAGTGTGCTACCACAGTGGGAGCACCGCTTAGCTGACCAGGATGAGCGGCTGGCTGCTCCCGCTGAGAACCCCGGGCCAATGGGCAGGAACCCTGGGCTGCGATCATCACCTCCTTGCCCCAGGCTCCTCCTCCTCACTCCCTACCACCTCCTCCGGATGCCGCAGGCTGTGCAGCTCTGACCCTGGAGGCTGGGAGGCGGGTTCATGGCCACCGTGGGACTGAGGCCTACTCTGCTGCCTCTCAGTGCTGTTGGCTTTGGGCCCGTCCCCCACCAGTTCCCCTGAAGAAGTGAGTGCTCCGGCTCCACAGAAGATGCCGGACCAGGGAGCAGTTGCTCAGAGGGCAGGTGCACAGCCACTCAGCAGACTGGGATGAGCGGTGCTCCCATAGCAGGCCGATCCCCACAGGCCACGCCCTCCACCAGTGCACGAATCCCGTGCACCAGGCCTCTACTATTTAATAAGCTCCTACCTCTTGTCTAATAATCAGTTACTATATAATGAATATCGGAATATAACTGCCATAATGAGAACAAGGTTCAAGTTCCTATTAGAAACCATTTGAGAAAACTAAGATAAGGGCTTTTTGTGTGTTCTTTAAAGAAATGGTGTTTTAGTTGAAAGAGGCTTGGTAAATACAGAAAAAAAGACTCATGCTTGCCAGAAAGGAGAGGAGCCGGGGGACTGGGTATAAAAGCTGAAGGGATTAAGTACAAATTGGTAATGACAAAATAGCCACCAGGATGTATAGTCAATAATATTGTAATAACTATTGATGGTACCAGATGGTACTGGAAATATTAGGGGGGATACTTTGTAAAGTATATGATTATCTAACCACTATGCTGTACACCTGAAACTAACACAAAAAAATGTTGAATCTAAAAAAAATAGTGTTGTAAGATTAATAAATACCTTCATACCTTCATTCTTTATTTTATAGGTGATAAAACTGAAGTACAGTTAAATGAACCAACTTGTTCTTGTCATAAAGTTACTTAGTGGCGGAGCCAAGACTAAAATTTTTTGTTCTGAATTTTTGTTCTAGTCCCTCTTAAGGATGTTATTCTATATTATAGGGTACATGGTTTCCCATCTTAAATACATGTTAATTAATTCATTGTTATTTTGAACTCTAACATTTTTACATAAAAGCATATATATTGTAATTTTCCCTCTACCTGACCTTTGGTATATCAGTTGTCCCAAAGGGTACCTCTGTTACCAAATTTTTGAACTCTTTTTAGAAATATTCTTTGCATATAAGTGTGGGGTGTGTGTGTGTGTGTGTGTGTATGCATACCACATACCTCCCCACTTTTGCCACTTTTGTTTATGCGGACAGTAGGGTACTATAGTTTTGCACCTTGTTTTTTGTTTGTTTGTTTGTTTGTTTTTGCACCTTGTTTTTATCACTTAAAAGTATCTTGGAGATTGTTCTACATCGCCACATAAAAGACTTTTTTTTTTCATTTATTTTTATTTTTGTTATGGATTTTTTAAAATCTTTTTTTGTTTGTTAATCCTCACCCAAGGATATTTTTTCTATTGGTTTTTTTTTTTTTTTTTTTTTTTTTTTTAATACATTTTATTGATTTTTTACAGAGAGGAAGGGAGAGAGATAGAGAGTTAGAAACATCGATGAGAGAGAAACATCGATCAGCCGCCTCCTGCACATCTCCTACTGGGGATGTGCCCGCAACCCAGGTACATGCCCTTGACCGGAATCGAACCTGGGACCCTTCAGTCCGCAGGCCGACGCTCTATCCACTGAGCCAAACCGGCTTCGGCACTCTATTGGTTTTTTAAAGAGAGTGGAAGGGAGGGAGGGAGGGAGGTGGAGAGAGAGAGAGAAACATCAATGTAAGAGAGACATATCAATTGGTTGCCTCCCACACATGCCCCAACTGAGGCTGGGGGTAGGAGATAGGGTGGGAAGGTGGGAGGGGGAGATCAGCAACCCAGGTATGTGCCCTTGATGGGGAATCAAACCCTCGATCCTTTGGCCAATGCTCCAACACTGAGCCACACTGGCCAGGCCTCAAATAATTTTTTAAAAGCTATATAGTACCCCATATATGGATACCATAATTTATTTGATTCATCTCTTAATGATAGATGTTTAAGTTGTTTCTAGATTTTTGTCATTACAAAGAATGCTCAGTATTGTGCATATGTCTGCATACACTGATAATTTATAACTTGAATTACTAGAAATAGAATTGCTCAGTCATAGGATATGGGCATTTTTAATTTTGGTAGTTACTGTATAAAATTTTCTTCCAAGCTATACTTCAGCCAAAAATATGAAAGTGTCTATTTCTCAACTCCTTTGTCAACATATATTATTAGTTTTTATAAATCTTTGCTACTCTGGAAAGTGAAAACCATATCTCATAATTTTTTTAGAATTTTTATTTATTGATTTTAAAAGGAGGGAGGGAGGGAAAGAGAGAGAGAGAGATATCAATTTGTTACTTTACCTATTTATGTATTCATTGGTTGATACTTGTATGTGCCTGACTGGGGATCGAACCAGCAACCTTTTGGTGCATAGGACGACACTCCCACTAACTGAGCCACACTGGCCTGGGCAAAGCCAACTAACTTTAAAATTCCATAGAACCTTATGAACAAAAAGAGCTTGAATAAGCTCTCAGTTTTTCCTGTCTCTCTCTTAAGTTTAAAGTACAAAATTAAAAAGCCAGTGTTTAACATAAATTTTGGGACTCTCTTAATGCTCTTAAAAGTTGCTTTTTCCACTCTAAAAATAGCCCATGCTCATTATTGTTTTGAAATTTTATGTTACTAGAAAGTGGGAAGCCACACATGCAGAAATAATCATCATTAACATTTTGGTCTGTTATTTTTTAAATATGTTTTTATTGATTTTAGAAAGAAGAGAGGAAGGGCGAGGGAGAGAAAGAGAAATATCTCTGAGAGAAAACTATCAATTGGCTGCCTCCTGCACGCCCCTACTGGGGATCAAGCCCACAACCTGGGCATGTGCCCTGACTGGGAATCAAACCTGTAAACTCTCGGTGCATGGGACAACTCAACTAACTTGAGCCACACCAGCCAGGACCTTTTTTATTTTATTTTATTTTTATTTTTTTAATATATTTTTATTGATTTCAGAGAGGAAGGAAGAGGGAGAGAGATAGAAAAAACAATGATGAGAGAGAATCATTGATTGGCTGCCTCCTGCACGCCCCCTACTGGGGATCGAGCCTGCAACCCAGACATGTACCCTGGCCAGGAATCAAACCATGCCCTCCTAGTTCATAGGTCAACACTCACCCACTGAGCCACACTGGCTGGGTGCAGACCTTTTTAATATAAATATTAATTGTACCTTATGTACAGCTTTTAACTTGCTTTTTTCTTTTTTAACATTCTTTGTTATAAACATTGTTAACATTTTTAGTGACTACCAACATTTTGAGTGGGATTACCTAAATTTACTTAACTTTAAAAAATGTTTTAAAAATAATTTCTGTACATATACAATCATGTGTTGCTTAACAAAAGGTATACATTCTGAGAAATTCCCCTTTAGGTGATTTTATAGTTGTGCATACATCATAGAGTGCACTTACACAGACATAGGCTGTATAGCCCACTGCACACCTAGGCTGTATGGCATTACCTATTGCTCCTAGGCTATAAGCCTCAGTCTACACCTTGTTACTGCACAAAACAACATGAGATGAAATCAAACACAAGAGAAAATAATGCAGCCAAGAGACACAATAAGCAAAATGTATGAGGCTGCTGCTGGTATAACACAGCATACTGGTTTACAGCAAATTTTTTTAAGTATGAAGAGTACACTCTAAAACAATGATTTAAAGTATAGTATAGTTAATACATAAACATAGTCATTTATTATAATTTTCATGTATCATGTATTATACATAAATCTATGTGCTATACTTTTATATGACTGGCAGTGCAGTAGGTTTGTTTGCACCAGCATCTCCACAAACACGAATAATGCATTGCACTACAACTTTATGATGTCACTAGGTGATAGGGATTTTTCAGCTCCATTACAATCTTATGAGACCACCCTTCTATCTGCAGTCTGTTTTTGACCCAAACAACAACTTATGTGGCACATAACTGTACTCCTTTACAGGGTAGTAGATTATACTGTGAAGTAGCTTTTTTAGAACTAGCAATCTGACAGAAAAATATCATTTTCCTACACTTAGAAAAAGTGCATCATCATGTGTGGTTATGCACATCTGAATTGCTGCAAAACTTCATTTGAAAATCATCCTTAATATTACCAGAGTTCCAATTGAGTTAGGTAGGCTCTTTGGACTGCTTTACAATTTTTAAGGCAATCTCAAAAAAAATACTCATAGGAATTTTCTGTGGAAAAAAATGATAACACTAAATCCCTTGTAAATGTTCTCAATGTAATAATTGGTAGCCTGTGTTATTTGGTACATTCATAGAGAATAAATTCAACTGTTTATAATACTATTCCACTTTCTTTATGATAATGGCATGTTTTTAGGGTCTGAAATAATCTTGAGTATATTTTTAATATATTATTTATTCTTACAATAATTTTAGGTCAACTGGCTATTCTGAGGTGATAGTTGTCGTTGGCGGCTGTGAACGAGTTGGAGGGTTTAATCTTCCATATACTGAGTGCTATGATCCTGTGACAGGAGAATGGAAGTCTTTGGCTAAGCTTCCAGAATTTACCAAATCAGAGTATGCAGTCTGTGCACTAAGGAATGACATTCTTGTTTCAGGTAAATAAAGAATTACTATAGTAGCTACTCTTAATTTGAACATAGCTTGGCTGTTTTAAATTAAAACAGTGTCACAAAAGAAAACAGTGACACTGGATATGCCCACTTTAGGCAGATTAGTTTATACAACAAATAAAACCAAGATG